CCGACCCTACCATCTGATCTGATCGTGGTTAGCTTCGTGATAGTGGTGATAAGGGGGGTTGTGGTGGGAGAGGCGAAGACGATTGGGAATCCCCGTTGAAGTAAGAACAAAGGCATTACTTAGTCTCGACTCTGCAGACGCTGTAGTGAGTGTTGAAATTTCTCTCGTGTTATCTATCCGCAGAAACATACTGTATAGTAGTAACTCATGTTCATACTCAGGATTGCGATGGTTAATAGAGAAGCATAGTTTGTTTTATTAAAGTCCAGTGGGACGCCAAGCCGAAACCTTGGGCCCCTGCTGCCTACTTGGCACTAGACATAGACGCCAGTGCTTACTGCCTTGGAAGCCTCACCCTCGCTACTTGCCGTCAAGAGATGCCGCGTCCACAATATACATGTAAAGCAACGCCTGATGTCGCACCGGCGCTATGTAGGTAGTATTACATGATACACTTTTTTCCTCCGCAGCCTAAATCCCAGATTCTGCCCATTTCCTACAGCCAGACTTCCACGTGTAGTATGATGGCACCGAGAATCATTTCTTGGTATTAATTCAGCCTGAATTTCTCGGGTAGATTGTTGAGTAGAATCCTGTCTGGACGAACCATTTGACAATACTTCTTGCTCCCTCCCAGGAGCCCAAAAATGAAATTTGTCGGATTGCTAAAAGAAACTAGAACTGGCGGAGACTCCGGTTGAGCATAGTGCATTCCAGGGATACGTGTGCATCTAGGTGGTTAAACCGAGAGTGGTACATGGCGAAGTCGCCACGCCCGAACGGACATCGTAAGAGATGGATAGTGTTTGTAGCAGTACGGGGATTGGTAATGATGGACAGCGATAAGACACGTGTATATATATCTATCGCGCACTTGACTCCTCCATGACATGATGATGCTTCCGACTACATTCACAATGTCCTTGCCTACTCTAGGCAGATGATCCCTATCTAATGTCTTTCCGTCCTTTTATCTTTGATGATAGGCCATGTTATTATCCGTCTTGCTGGCCATAATCAAGCCCAGAGTTATGGACAGATCAAATATTTAGCGGTGCGAGCTGGAGGTTCGTAGATGGCACCACAGGCAGGTGCTGAATTTCGTCCCCCTACTTTACCATATCTTGCCCGGATTTCTGTAGGTTTTATTCTTGTAGACAGCGGAGAAAATTGAGTTGTTCGGTATGCCGTGGAGGCCTCATCAAGGAGAATAAGGAGTAGTCTGAGGTCATTTGAAATAATATAACACATGTAAAGTATCTTTGACCACAGGTAATTCGACGAAAATGGACGTAGCGTCTGGATATGTAGGTTTATCTGGAGGTCCTAAAACTCAGTGTTGTGCTTTACGATTTTAATCTACTAAATTTTGAGTGAGAGATCGTTCTGCGTTTGCGGTATTAGAAGAATATCCAAAACGAGAGGTTTAATTTCATGCTTAGCTAAGTTCTACCTTTACTTTTTTCCCTCTGCCCGTCATCTCATTTTTGCAAGCAATTTTTCGCAAGGCTTAACGCTGGGTGTTTTGCTGACGACGTCTGCCTCTACGCCAACACCTTTTCTTTTCAATCCTTTAGTGGTTCGATGAAAAAACTACAGTGTTCAGGCAGGGAAATTTGGGCATTCTTTTTGCTAATAAATGTAAGAATGCTGATGTGGATATTGATAAAATAAGTCTGTTGTAGATTTGATAATGATTGCTAGTTAACATCGCGGTACTATCTGTAACTTGAGTCAGGAAATACCGAGGTGTAGGCTTGGCGTGAGATGAGTGTGCAAGATTGGAAAGCTAGTCTCGCGTACTTGTCAGTTTGAATCATTAGTTTAAATCATAACAATAATAGTAATATATTCATTCAACCACTTGGTCAAGTTTAACCATCTACCCTGTAAAACCTACGGACATGTAAGCAGATTCTTTTCTTTCATACCAGAGGAAAGTGTATATACAGCAAATACATTTCTATTATAATACCACTCTTAAACTGGTATCTTCATACCCGTTAATATATTTAGTTATAATTTCTACATTAATAAAGATTAATTGTTGGCTCATAGGTCACTGGACGGTAATTCAAAGTGCTAGACAGTTGACAACCCCTGCTGTTCTGGGAGCTTGAGCATTAATGATTCCGGGCCGATTCAGGTTAGCCCACGTTATGTATATGAGCCTCTTTCAACTTAAATGACTAGACTACCTCGAAATTTAGCCCTAGATTGAATCACATCGCGTCTCATCGTTCAGAGAACTCGATATGGGCGCGTAGAAATGCAAATTCTCTCTCTCAGACTCAACCGTGATGCGCCAGAGCTCTTAACACCTTCAAGTTCCAGGACTTCTCTCTTCCTTCCAGCCCAAGATTCTACTCATCTCACCCACGACTTATCTTCTTCATGGGAATCCTTTAGAAGTTATCCTTCGACGCCTCCATCGGTTTGCTTCTCTTCCCTTCCTTCACCGTGACGAATCTTTTTTCTTTCGCACATCACGCCATCTTTGAATCTTGAAATCACATCTGACTCGCCGACACTGAAGCGTGCCAGCTCAGTACACGAACAAATACTCGATTCCGAAGTATCTATGCCTTGAGCTTGGTCGAATGCTATGGATGATGTTGTGGCGACATTTTGTAGCAATTTTCGGTGGCAACAAGTCTTAGGGTAGCGTTGGTGGTATCTTTGAATGAGGTGTGGACTCATTTACAGCCAATACTCTAACTTGACCGTCACAGCTCGCGCAGTTGTTGGAGGATTGGGCGTCACCCTATATTTTCGATAATCCGAACTTTGCATTCTGGGGCAGCATCAATGAGAGATGAAATGGTCGTGAGACGAACAAGCTTGGCAAACTATCCTGGAAGAGCCAGGACCGTCAGGTGTGTCAAATGTGCTCACACGAACACCAGACGAATCTTGGCCCGTCTGTGACTACACTAAAGATGGAGATTAGTAGAGTCGTTGATTTGTGGGGTCATGAAAACTCTGCGGGTAGGGATGTCAATCAAACATGAGCCAACGTCACCTCTGCCGATCGCCATTTCATTGACAACTATCAAACCCACCTTTTCTCGTGTCTGAGTCTCGAAACCAGGTCGAAATCTCGGCAAACTCGTATAGCACATTACTGACAGCTGATCTGCCTTGTTGTGCTTGGCATTGCTACCTGTCTACTTGTAGGTGCATGTGCTAGGCGATTAGTGACCTCTGCAGTCTACAGAGGATGAGACGAGCGAGGCTAGGCATTTCCGTGTTGACAACCATCCACAATATAATAAACCCCATCTCGACCGGATGGCTAGACCGATCCAGATACCACCCATGCCTAGAATCACGCCGATTTCGAGCGTCTAGAGAAGCCGCTGTGAACACGCCGAAACACAAGCCCCCAACCGCCACGCATACGAGCTATACACATTGCAATCACCTCAAAATCTCCTTGCCTCTCGAGATCCCAGCGCAGTCAGACGACGAAATCTCATCACCGTGCCCTCAGGTCGAAGGTGACCTGGGGAATTTGTGTCCTCCACCACCGAGGGACAATCCTGTTGGTGTTTTCCCCTACATTCCTCCCACATCTCTGGGTCTCGCTTCCATTATGATATTCCTTGGCAACATGAGAATTTGCGGGTAACAGGTCTGGACTTTGGAGAGTAGGATTAAATATGGAGAATCATACCTCTCGTAGAATTTTATTGGGCGGAATCTAATCTACCCATAGACTTGTGTCCATCCGCAAATCACATAGTGATGATCTCGACGATTTTCTTTCGACATGCTAGGGTCGAGAAGCTCGGCCAAACCATCCCACAGTTCTATGCACCAGAATTCTGGCCCTTGCAAAATATCTTGGGCTACATGGCCCATCCTTGGGCGGAAGGAGTCGGATTAGAATAGCGCTCGTCATTGACCCGATAGCTACTTGATATCATCGAGGCACCATACACATATCCGCCTCTGATTCAGCGGTGTCCGGTGCTGGATCAGTTGGACCGCGTTGCAAGAGAAGTTGGCGCAATGTGGAGGTCTGCCGATAGGAAGCCTTAGGGTCGTGGCGAGCCGAATCGCCCCGCTGATCGTCGCGACTAGTGTTCTGGGGTACGAGAGTGGACCGGGGCTCATACGCCCTGACCCCTCTAGCTGAGCTAGCATGCCGATCTCGGGGAAATGGAAGCCCTTGTCTTCGCGGGAGAGGCTGTCGGAGCCTAGTCTACGCTAACTCGAGCAGGAATAATGGGCGTCGATCTATAGAATCATAGTAATTTACCTTCCATGTGCGCATGACGAGTGATGGGAATATTTCACGAATGCGGGACCGGAGAGAATATAACGTTGTACATGGGCATAAGCATAAGAGTCCTGTTAATAGAAAATAGCATTATATTGGCCAAGAGCCTCATGGTACACCTCTTTGGGCTCCATGTGAAACTAGTCTACAATATGTGATTGAGTCCAAGGGGATAATCATGTGCTGGCCTGCAGGGTCTGCCACATCTCCGCATACATGAGGAATGTCCCAGCCAAATTGGTAAAGGTGGAATCCTTGGTAGAGCTGGTCTCCCATCATATGACACAATCATTAATATTCCCGCGATTCCGGAAATAACAAGTATTCTTGTCTACGGACGATTTCGTAGATCGCCGTTTAATGTTCAGAGTTTTGTAGATTTAATAGGTCCTTCATATGCTCACGGCCTACTTTTATCTTGCCCAAACTGAGGCCGATCCCACGTATGACTATTTGACTCTGCCTGTTGAGTGAGTGCAGCACGACGTTGTGAAGCTTATTTTTCTCTAAATAGCTTTTGGGTCAATCGACTTTTCTTGCCGATCATTTCGGCGGACGCTAAAGCGGGGGTTTATTTGTTTACTGGCACATTTTAGGTTTAACGTCACAGCTCGCCTTAATGGCGTTTAGGACGTGAGATTTCGGAGTGTCGAGGATCCGGGCCGGTTTCGGCACTTCACCCAGCTCAGTGTGGGCCGATTCCTTCATATAGCCGTCATTGTCTCGAATCAAACTCTTCGTATTGCTCTCTGTTAATTTCGCATCGAATAGGGCTATTCTCATTAGGCGCACATTGACTCAGCCTCCGCGCTTCGGCTTCAGCACGAGCATTTGCCGCCATGGCCGGCAGCTGACGTCGACGAGCATTTATGTACCAGTTAGATATTTGATCTGGTGATATTAGTCGCAAACTTTTCTGGACGAGAGCATAATATACTTACTCATCTGAAGGCCCGTTGCGTCCATGAGTTGCTGCTTCTCATCTTCCGTCGGATAAGGATGAGCCAAGTGACTCATGAACCAAGCTCTAAGCTTATCTGTTGTGTCTTTTGGCAAGTTGCCCCTGCGTTTGCGTGGCTTAGTCTCGGCCGTGGAAAGATGGTTTTCATTAGGATAACTGGCATGATTGTTCGTGTAGGTTCCAGGTGGCAGGTTAGTATGGAATTGAGCGTTATCGGGAGAGTAAGAGGTGTAGCAAGAGCGAGGGCCGGCGAAACTAGAGTTGTAGCTAGCTGATGTAACATAATCCGTTGGGCTAGAGTAGGTCGTAGCATGGGTCGAAGCAGGGTACGGGGGGTACATAGACGAGTCGACTCTCGGTTGAGCTGAGGCAGGCGCAGTGGTAGACTCGGGGTGGTACTCATGAGCAGTCAAGGTGTCGCGTACGGTACATTCTGATGGAGGATTGTGGGAGTGGTCTTGGTAATAGGGTAATTGTCTTGGCGGGCTCGGACTTGGAGCAATGACGAGTTCTCGAGCGGCTCTATCGGTTGGTTCATTCTCAGTAAGGTTCGGACGAGAGTTAGGCTGTGATTTGGACGTGTTGATGAGGTAAGGGAGGCGAGGCAACTGTCGATTTTCCACTCGTAATTTGCCGTGGCCTATTTGAGCCGCATCAGTGCCCGAAATCTTCCATTGCGTTTGAAACTGTGAGTCTGTGTGCGGAGGTGCGTCTTCTTCGGCAGGATCGAGAGACGCAGTCCCATGAAATTGGCTAGTTGAGGTATAGGAGGATGAAGGCGACTTTCGCACCGAGGTGAAGGATACAGGATAATTGGTGAAAGGGCTCGTTCGAGGAGAAGCTGTGCGGGTACCTGTTGACGAAAAGGTACTGCCTCTTCGTGAGGATGGAGATAGATCTGGCGTCATGGCACCCGTCTGGTGATATCGCGTCCATTGTCCAGCTGGTAGAGGCTGGCCTTCTCGAGTGACATGGTCCCGCCGTTCACCGTTCTGTTGGAGATCTTCCTCGTCAGCGGCCGAAAGACGGCGGCGTTTGTATAGAGATGGCGGAGACGAGTTGGGCGCAGTGGGGGAGCGAGTATGTTCATATTTACGGCGCGAGTGTGATGTATTCTGGCACTCTGATAGGGATGAGTGGTGATGTCCGTGATGATATCGGGGTAACTCTGGAACTAACTGCAGGACGATTAGGAGAAGCTTTGGAAATAAGATATGTTACTAACCTCGCAGATTGATGGTAGTGGCCCTACTGAGCGGTCGGGCAGATGAGTATCTCTGAAGGACATATCAGCGGGTGATGGGCGATTGAGGACGGCTAGATTCCCGAGCGGCGGCAGCACAGTGTCGTAGTCTTCGCGTGGACTAGTCCCGGATACGGAGTAGCAAGAGCGGGCAAGCGGAAGATGTGGCATACTGGTTGGATGGACGAGAGTGTGCATCTTCATGGTGAGAAGAACGGCGGCGCGATGGTGGCGGGCGCCAGAATTTACAGAAGCGATGCGCCGCAGACCAGCAGACACGACTTTAAGTGATGGATGAGCCTGGGTCGGCTGGGTGGCAGGCAGGGACGAGGGCGCTGGTAGTGTTCAGGGCGAGTACGTACGACAGACCTTTGCCCTGCGGACGATCAATGCTACTTATGAATAAGTTGTTTGAGCGTGGCCATCGGGCCTGAGGATGACTATCGTCGTCATTAGCTGGGGACGATCGCAGGCGCGGGATTGACTCTGTAACCGTCCAAGCGCGTTTCTGGTTTCCTTTCCAGGTCGCGAGCTACGCGGAGCTGGACTGGCGGCGCCGACTGGGGACGGGTCGTGGGCGTCATGCAGGTGCGGATAATGGTAAGAGGATCAGAGGAACGCTCGCGACGGGCGGAATCAGGACCGAGGCTGCCTTCTCTCCGTCGACGAGCGGACATATGCCCGTATGCATCTGCATAAAGCGCGCCCCTGCTCGTGCTGGGCGGCTGGGCGGTAACGAGCACCAACGGGCCGTCTGCGGCAGGCGCGCGAGCGGGGATGACCTGGGGGGGGAGCAGCGCCGGACTAGAGGGCGTGGCGGCCACAGCTACCACAACTTCGCCGACCATGTTTCTGGTGAAGAAGGCGACGACGGAGCGTTGAGGCCGACGAAGGCGCCGTCCGACGTTGGATCGGCGTGGTCCTGCATCAGGTCTCGTTACTTCTGCCTGGCGGCGACGTCAGGCCCCGTTGCAACGGCCGGCCGCTCGCCATCTCAGCGTCGCAAGACCGTGACCGACTGGCCGGTAGAGGCCGTGTCATGTCAGGGATGGAGGGCGTGTTGCCCGGCCGGTCACTGGCGAAGCGGCTGCTGGACCCGAGAGGCGTGAGTCAAACTCTCGACAATCCCATCCTCAGCCGCCATGGGGAAAGTGGGCGCGGTGGACAGGCAAAAGGGCTGACTGGTTGGCTCATGCACGCCGCTGAGCTGACCCTGCTTTTGCCCGGCGGCTGCCTTAGCCCGAACGGAGCGGGGCCGTTTTCGGTACATGTCAGCTGGATGGAGTCCCGGGGTCCCGTGACCCGGGAGTCCCAGGCCAGATGAGGGCGCAGAGGGGATCTGCTGCGCCAATGGTCAGCCGCTCCCAGAGTCCAGGCCGATCGGGCGTCCCAACAGACCGACTAGCATCTTTGCTGGGACCATGCCCCACTACTCTGGTTGCGACGCTTACCAGTAAAGCCCTCTTCGCGACCACCACTACCACTCTAGCGCTGTCGGCCGCCCTTAACATCACTGCCAGTCACTGGCGACCGTGGAACCGGCGCCGTTTGACGTGGGATGCCTCATAGCAAGACTGGCAGTCGCTTCGTGGCGAATCACAACGGCTCAAACATTGGCGACGGCAGATTCATCGCCTGCGCTTTCGGTCAGGTCCTCACCTAAACTTTGTCTCGCACCCGGCTCCTGACAGCTTCGCTGGCTGACACGCACAGGGACTGCCCTCATCGCCGATAGACAATGGCATTTCCCATGACGAGGCTGCAGCCAAAGTGGCCCCAATCTTGCTCGGCTTGCTGCCGGTGTAGGCGCGCTCTCCGTGCCCATGTCCACCTCGGCCGCCACTCACCAACCGGTTGGCAAACCGTGTAAATCGAGCCGCGCGCTCCCGGAGAATTAAGCAGCAAACCCTTCTCTTCCCCAGACATTCTCGCCCGCAGCCCGGCTGCAGCGATGCTCTTGTCCAGCACTGCTCATCAGCCCCCTCCCCAACCATGGCTGCTGGCGCTCTGCCGCCTACTTCTCCGCTTGGGTTCGTGGAAGTCGCGCAGTTAACTCGCTCCGGCCGCGCCAAGGGGCCACTTCAGTCCTCCCATACCATCCACCTTTGCCCCGGCCTGACGTTACATCTCCAGTGAGCGGCATTGCCCTTGGCTTTCCGCCTCCCATCGTCTCCCATGCTATGCCCACGCCCTCACCACCAAGAGAGCAATCTCCGACCTTCCAACGCAACCATGCAGTCGCACTGTCATTGTTCCGATCGTAGCCCCCTACTTAATTCTCCCGTCCTCTCACAACACCTCAGCCTGCCTCCTTCCTAGAATCATAACCGCGGTGCCGGCATGTGTTTCGCAATCAGGGTCCTCCCTGCCGCACCCATTGGCAACATGTTGCCACGCCAACTCCGTGTTCATACTGTCACGTGAGTACCACGTGTTGGCGATATCTAATCCCCACCTCTGGTCGCGGGGCTCCTGCAGGTCTTGGATGGGGCAGCCGGCCATTGATATTGGCGAGAAGCGTCCACCATCTCGGGGCTTTGGACAGCCACAATTTTCATATTTTTACACGTCGCAGGAGATAAACGTTCATGGCACCGCGGGCACCCATCATTGCTGTACCTGCTGGAGCTAAGCCGAAAGGCAGTTGCTGTGATTGCTGCTCCTATTTTGGCGTCTGCATGCCGTTGAGGGGCCTGGAGAAGGCTGTGGCATAACCCTGAGACGGTACATACAAGACGGAGCTAGTTGATCAGACTGATCTGCATCTCGTCTATGAGACCCCATGTCGCCCGGGAAGCGTGATCCCCGCCGGGGGGGGTGGCCAGGAAGAAAGTGCCATTGGGGGAAAGACGGACTCTGGATCCAATCCACCAAACAAAACATGTTCCGGGATAGCTTTATTTTCTTTGTTTACTTGTCGTGCTGACGAGCACATTGCATGCACTATCCAAGCAAAAGGTAAATCGTCGTCGGTCTCGGCCATCATCTCTGACTTAGCTACTACTTCCTCATCCGTGGCGCATGAGTGAAACTCACGGGCTCCTTTATCCACGCCGTTGTCCTCATTAGCTTGGATGGAAAGGAAGGACGAGTAGAGGTTCTATCCCTCTCAAGTTTCTCTGCTGCCGCCGCCACCGCCGCTTTCCAACACCAGCCCTGCTCCGCACCCGTCTCAATCTACCAACGCGTCAATCGCAACTGTACTGGGCCTTAAACTTGGCTAATATGCCCCCCTGAGTGTATTAGGGCTAATTTGTTTGTGAACACCACTAACATAAATTTGCACGACCTTTACCTGGTTGAGAAGCAACAATTATTCTGGCTCGTTGATTGGATGAATCTGGGGTCCAACAAAGCACTCAATCGTATTTGCTAATACGCCTGGAGCCATGACCACAGTCTTAGATTTAGCTCCTGCACACCAACGTCAGCTGTCATGGCTGCTGCTGAAAGTAGTCAGGTGACTTGCGGGTCATTAGCTTTCTTCCATCTGGGGTCGGGGGCGGCGGACGCGTTGTCTTGGCGCGCCAGTTGGCTCTCTATTTTCCCCAATCAAAGTAGATTTTGAACAAGGTCCTGGAATTACGAACATACGGCCCACTGAAGAGATTCTTCATTTGCTTCGAGCACCACGGCTGCTTTGCGAATGTCACAATTAAAATATTTGCAAAGTGGACTCGCGCTCGTCAACATGGAAGATCCTCGCGCAGAGACGTTGTCTAGGGTTTCCATCCGCTGCCATTATTTCCAGCAAATTCAAGAATGCCTGATAAGGTGATCTGGAGCCAATTTCTCTCTCCTTTGGCGAGCCCTAGCACCAATAGGCATGTTGATAATCGCCTATGCTGATGATATTCCTCCTACCTCCCCTTGACCTGTGAAAATGACGATCATTCCATGGAGCAGCTGCCGCGAGGGCCAGTGCAGGCGGGTGCCCAGGGGAAAAAAGGTTAATTTGAAGGGATCTTTGCAAAATGTACAAATTATCTTTGTTTCTTTCTTGACAACTTGACATTATGCTTTACCGGCCAACCTGTCAATTATTCTTATCTCGTACAGACCTTGTATCCCTGTGAACACCCAAGCCTATCATATCAATCTATAGATAGTCCTCGGCGTTTGAAAGCTGTCAGCATGCTAAATGTCAAGGCGGGTGAAAGGGAGGAGGAGGAGAATGGGGTTTAGGTTTGGGTACAAGTACCTTGTTGAGATCATCAGACAACATAGTTCTTACAATGTCATTTTCCATGAAGCAGCACGACAGTGTCAAGTACTTCATGTTATCTCCTCCCCCTGGTTCTTCCCATCAAAGCCCCCCCTTCCAAACCTCCCCCTTTGTATTCACAAGCTAGTATCATAACTAGTCCATGGTAAATCCAGGGATTAATCGCATTTTTTCGGCTGAACATACACTGAATGTGTCAGTACGTCCAAGTTACGCCACGCTCAATTGGCTGTAATCCCAAATATTTCCGAAAGTAGCTGTTGCTGTGGACAGGATAATGACCATCAACTCGCTCCTTCCTCGTGATGGCAAGTTTCTTTATGTTCCTTGAAGTGTTAATTTTATTTTCCGAAACCTCTATATGATCTGGTTCAACCGGTCGCATGAGATCGCGAAATTGGTGTTTTTAGTGAGAACTTCGTGACCGGGTATAGGCTGCGCCAACTTGACAATCCTGTGCACCAAGCCCAAAGGCAAGTTGGCCCAAGAGCTGGTTGGAAATTATGTCATTGTCTCCACCATTTCTCTTTTTCCCTGGACTGAATGGCGAGAGCGACAGTGACACGAGACTATCTTACCTCACGAGCAGTTGTATGTTGCATGCGAAGGAACAACTCGTGGAATAAAAATGGTCATACAACCCTCGTCATGCACCTGTACTGACTTTTGAGCGTCTTTATGGCGCAAACCACTAGTAACTAGATAGAAGTCTTATCAGGGAATCTAACATTGTCATCTCTTCTCTCGTGCGTTAGGCATCTGTGTTGTAGCGTTGATACTGCATGATGAGTCCCCTCGCATCTGATATTGTCCTCAAAGATAATATGTCAATACTTACCAGTAGCACATGAAACAGTAGAGCTCAATGATAGCACAGGTATTCTCATACGCCAGAATCTATCATTCGTACTTATATCGATATTTTGGTGAAGCTAGAAGATGAAATGTCGTCGATAGAGATGGAGGAAATATTTCCCAA